TTATTAGGATGTTTCAACAAATTTTCAAACTGCATTTCTATGAAATGGTACTTAAAATACCTTGACAACTTCATCAGAAACAACACCAGAAAACTGACTAGAATCCTCTGTGCCTCCGGCACCAAGCATTCCCCGTGACAACCAGTTCAGCCATCCACGCGACTTATTTGATATAGGATCATCACTCTGTTCCTTTTCAGATGCACTCTGTTCTTTAACAGAGCCAGTGGCACCAGTTGCTCCCGTATTCACTATCACATCTGAACAAGCTTCCTGCATAATAAGATCCAAGGTAAAAGGACAGATAAAAAAATTGCCCTTGCTAGGACATCAACTTATGGTAGATATCTGAACAGCATTTGGTATCTCAGCCAAAAGTAAAATGCTACATTAGCAACCTAATTTTCCATACCTGCATATCACCTTCCGCTACAGACCTATAACTTAAGATATCATCAATATCAGACTTCTTCTCCACTTCTTCCAAACCCAAAAGGATAGTCTCATCAATTGACTGTAGCAAGAGGCATAAAGTACATCCATATTAGTAGAGGAGCAACTTGGTTTGAAAATGTTACAGAAGAAACAGGCAAATTACTGCAACTCATCTTCAAGTTATAAAGGTTACGCGTTAGTTGGACAAATATGTCCAGCGTAAAGCATCTTAGCAACATATGATGGAGACTAAGGCAAGACAACAAAAAGTTTAGGGAAGAGAACAAATGTATTTCTTTCAATCAGCTATTTTAGAACAACTACATTGTTAAGATGATAAGCTCGTATAGAGTATTTTCTTGATATTAGAAGAAAAGAAATGTTTCTTCAATTTCTTTCTTTGAAATGTATGATGAGGCTTAGACCAAATCGTCTGCAATTTTTACCTCTGGTTCCAACATTCCAACAAGTTTAAAGGTTCCCTACACTGCTACAGCTACCTATGCAATAAACTGGAATAACCCATTTGTAAGCAAACACGTGTCAAGATATAAGATTTTAAAAAAATGGCAGGACTTATGAAATATATGTTTCTAAACCACCTTCTCTTTATCACTACGCATTCTTGGAGCACAACCAGATGATGAATCACATATAATAGTGAAATGCGAAATGTGCTGCTAAAAGTCACCCTACCACTACACTTTTATACACATGTTGCAGTTATTAGAGGACAAAACACATCGAAATGAAAAACCACCTCAAGAGATGCTCCCTAACAGATAATGAGGCTTTCTATGTCTACACAATCCAATAGGCTGGGTTAGGCAAATTCATGCAGTCAAACAAATAGGAGGACGAAGCAACATAATGAACAAATTCTGACACTTCTAATCAGATAAGGAGGAACATAAAATCCTTGCCTGTTCTCTGCGAAGAAAATCTAGCTTTATCTTGTAAAAGTTGATATATCTCCTGCGCATTCTCCTGTATTTTTTCCCGAAACAAAAAAGTAAGCACCGCTGGAATATATTCTGGGAGTATTTGTCTACTTATGCCATGAAAGCGCAAGTTGTATGCATGAAAGTAAAGTATGCAGAAATTTTAAGAGAATCAAAACTGTAACAGCTATGTAATTATGTCAGAAATAAAAATAAAAGAAATGATATCAGAAAAGTAAACTTACATTCGCTGTTCAAGAAATCTCCATGAAGTTTTCCACAGTTTCTTCCGTACATCAGATAAAACTGATTTTTGGGCATAGTGCCACCAAAGTTTCTGCCATCCTGGTGGTTTTCTCAACAAGGAAGTGGAGCAAGGACGATACCGCCCATACCTAAACCATTTAAGATACTCTTAAAATCAGTAGTTCTTTGAAATTTTCCGTAGTGTCAAATAATGGAGCTAAATCTCAGGAGTCAAACAATGGAGCTAAATCTCAGGGGGAAAAAAGGTTTGAATGGAGGAAAAACTATTACTACTATAATGAAAGGCTTACCTCTCACGCAATTGGCTGGTTTGCAAGTAATCTAACAGAATAAGAATCTGCCTCAACTGAAATTCATTCAGAGTCATGACCTGAAATATTAAGTGGAAGCTAGACTGAGTCATGAAATGGAAAATAATTGTAGCTCTGAACCTAGTTTAGCAATTTCTGAGAACTAACCACATCAGTCAACTCACAGCTGATAGAATACTGAGGTAGATCGTCAAAAATCTCTCCAGATCGATTGACCTATGCAAAGAAGTGTATCAGGAAAAATGGAGAATGCCTATTTACAGACAGCACAAAAATACACCCAAACAATATCTGAGGTATACACCAATGTGCTTTCTGCATATACGGTGTACTACTGATCAGATAGCTGTTTCAATCTTTCACCAAATACAATGTCCTTACGGAGCTGATGGTCCCAAGTAAAGGGATTCGCAAAAATTGCAATGCAACATTATTTCTTGTAACACTGATTGATAAAATGTCACCAAAATTTGGTCGGCCATCCGGGTAAAATAAGAAATAAAATAAGTATATCAGATATAAGATACTAATGTGTAATTCTCATTTTTAACATTACCCTAAAGCTAGAGCAAGTATGCAGTGCCTTGAAGCAGCAATAAAGACTAGATGATATGAAAGATGTTAAACAACAGCAAACCAATATGGCGGTGTTTTAGATCCATTACCAATAGCGTAGCGCAAACACGGACTGGCTTCAGTAAATAACCAAATCGATTACTTTGCAATCTCGATTGGCACCAGTTATCAAACACTCTTTTTTCGTTAACACTTGGAAAGTCCATGTTTCCCTCATACATGTCGCAATATATTTCCAAACCTTCAATCTCCACAAGTTTATTCACTTGCCCCCCTCTCACCCTACCAACTGATGGCCTGGAATTCAACAAAGACATCATGTCAAAAGATTTGAGGTCCACATATATCCACCAGAAATCTCGTCTTAGCAACAATAATTTTGCTTATGGAAGAAATAGGTATTAACGAAATTTTCCAGTAAGAAGAGACGAAGTTGGGAGAAAGTTAGAGTCAGGTATACTCTTTCTTGTCTCACACTGGAATTTAAAACACATCAGCTTACCATAGAGTGAAGCATAGCTACAAGGAATCAAATACAAAAGTAGAGTAGAATACATGTTTAAGTGACAGAGAAGAAACAAGGCAACTGGGAAATGGGGTATGCTCTCTGTTGTCTAATGAACTAATTCAAAACACATATCCCTACCATAAATTTAAGCAAAGCTAGGAATCATACACGTGGAAAACATTTTTCAATGCCAGAGAAGGTGCATAAAGAGATTACCCAACTGAGTTTTGATTAGTAACTGTCAAGCTTGAAAACCGCAATCCTAATACAACTTGAACCTGCGACAGCAGTTTAGAGTAAAACATATGAAAGTGGGAAAGTAGGCAACACCAAATGATTATTCATATTGTACTCTAGCGAAGCGTAAGAAAGACAGATAGTAATTTAGCATCACCATGCTCAAATACTTGAATTCATCTAGATTCATATCCTTCATGAAAAATATGCTCTTACAAACAAACAATTACTACAGTAAGATTATCAATATATAAGTTTCCACAATTGCAATGGGGCAATAACAAAATACAAGCCTATATTCTAGAAAACTAATTAAACAAAACAAGCAGGAAACTTACTGATTCAGGTTGTGCATCGGAGTATAAGATGTGAAAGTTTCTGATGGACACTTGAATGCTATCAAGAATCTACGCCAATAAAGACGGAAAGTTAACATAGTAGAAGAAAAAAAGGTCAATATTGATAACCTCATCCACAACCACAACCAAGGAGATATACATCCTCAGAAATTATAATACAGCATCAGACCAAACGTAATATGAAAAAAATATAAGATGCTAAGACTAAAGGTAATAAAAGGAGGCCTTTGGAACGTAATTTCACCTTGGCAGCAATGTACGACACAAAAGGATTCCCTGCTGGACTGTCTGGAAATATTAAAAAAAAAATTGAAGGGGCTGAACAAATGTTGTGTAGGAACAATCTTAAAAGCTAAACTATGTAGGACAGGAAGTATTTTGCTCACCAAAGACGCGCCTAGACAACTTTGCCAGTTCTGCAGCAGCAAGCTTAGCTTTCTTACCAGCAAACTCTCTTCTCTCAACCACATCTGAACTCCACTGCAATGACCATGCCATACATATATATATTTAGAGGTAAACACTTGTCCTGTATATAAAGAAAAGGGCTGCTAGACAAGGAAATCACCTCCTGATCATTCCGTTGTGATGCACATACGAAGACATCTTCAAGCATAATAATAATAGGATCCCTACCAAGCTTCTTCCATGGAATTTTAATGCTCAATTTCCCAACACGGCCTATGTACACAGTAAACGATTTGATCCAGAGAAAACGAAGTAAAAACAAACAAAAAAATCAGAACTTTAATCCACTACTGTATAATCACCTTGCTTGAGAGCAATTGGAAGCTGCAAATACTCAAACGCCTCAAGAATCAGTTCCACGTTCTCCAATAAGACTTCCTCTGCATTTAGCGATCATCCAATACAGTGAGATTGTGGTGTTCGTTGAAACGGAAACTAGAAAAAAAGGATAGAAAGAGTGAAAATTTACCATTCCAGACTGTGATCTTGAGCTGGTCTTTCTGAATGTCTTTGATGTAGCGACCTAAGTACCCTAACAAAAGCTTTTGCACAAGTCCTTCAAACATCTTTCAATCGCTATTTCATTATCGAATAATTTCAAAACGAATTTTGATTTCTCCGCCGGGAGATGAAGAGAAAGAGACGGTGGTCGGAGAAGTGTTAAAGGAGTCGCTCCGGAAATCGTAGGGTTTTTGTCTCTTCCGTCGAAACAGAGACTTGTCTTCTCCAATTCCCAAATTAACGAATTCTTTATTTCGGTTTCGTCCTCTTCGTACCGAACTAGACCAGACCGAATCTGACTTAAATGGTTTAATCATTTCCTTACGTTAACCGGCTAATATGTTGATTTGGTTTATTTTTCAACTTTTTTGTCAAATTATTGGCAATAGCATTAATATAGCAGTAAGAAAACTTGGGCAGCCATGTATGATACAAAGACCATTGATGAGTACATGTTATTAAATACAAATGGAAATAACGTGTAGTACTATCAAAAGAATGCACAAGTAATAGAAATAAGAAAGTATGCATTGATCAACCATTCACTTTGACGTAGAAGAGATGCTCATCCAAATATATATTCAGTTGCTGGCCGAAACTTCACACACCTCTTCTCTAAGCACTCTCACAGCTTCTGTGACTCCATCCTGAAGTTATTATTTTTGGATTAGTTGCCAAAATTACTCAAACTATAAAAGAGAAGACTACGCTACATAGAACAGAAATCGAAAAAGAAAAACCTCCATGGGAGGAAAGGATTCCTTGATTTTGAGACATGAATCAGTAGGAGAAAATCATTTGATCGTAACTAGTTACCTCAAGAGATAACACTTCCGCGATTTCCATGGCACGAGTCCTAGTTTTTTCAGACAGTGCATTGTATATGGCATTTGCTACCACTTGTGCAGCTTCCGTGATGTTCTCATCATCTGTTTCCTCCTGAAACAGCTGGTTTCTTTTTAATGGTTGAGGAGCAACCCCAAGCCAAGACATTTTTTCTGCCCAATAGAACTGATCCAGCATAAACGGGCATATGATCTGTGGAAAGACATATACACATATTATGTGGTCACTTTTTGGCATTACAACTTCAGACTGATTCAAAGAAAATACCAATAGTAGTCTGTCAACTAAGGCAGTACAAGATAAAGCTTTATGAACGTTAGTCATTTCAGTGCACAAGACTTTGTATTATGGCCAAGTACCAGTAACGAGTACAGCAGAGTAACCAAAGAGATGATTGAACAATCATCAAATGTTCTTCTGATATATCAAAAGTAAAGTCATCAACTGTAGTTTTACCATTTATATCGAAGATCTAAAGTCACATTCAAACACGTCCAAAGACTACATATGATTGTGGAGCAGAAACAAACCTGCGGGAGACCAGCCTGTAATGCCGCGGCAACAGAACCACTGATTTCCACAGTGCACATAATTCATATAACAAGACAACAAAAGAAATCAGTTCACGTCTATTTATCTGTCCATATTCACCAGGAAAGGGCATCCAGCTGGGATTTTCACCTGCCACCATGATGAATTGCAGCAGCACATCTTTGAAACAGCCAATTGTATGGCACCATACTAATTCAGGAAGACAAAAATATAAGAAGGCTATCCACAGGGTAATTTAGGTTTTGCCATGTCCATATATCAAGATCTTTTATTTTTCACGTAGATAATCGCCAGTTGAATACTGGATAAACTTGTGCTCACCCAGAGAAGCAGAAAAGCTTGCCATCGAAAATAGAGATTCCCGCATGTAATGATTGTTTCTCACTTGAATCTGATCTGTTAGCAATAGTCCAAATTGCTGCGTCCAAAGGTCCATATCCCGCTGTGAAAATAATAAATCTATAACCTGTAATCTCGATAACAGATTGAAGAACTCGAAGAAAGGCTAAGGGATCCCTCACAAAACCCATGCTGCAAAAGCAAAAAGAACAATCACTGCCTTACACCAATTTAGCATGGGTTAAATATCTGACAAATGAGTCTCAGTGTTCTTCTGACACAAAGTATTGAAAACGTAAAAGCATAAAAGTCAGAAATGATTCAGAGGGATCAACTTTAATTTAGACCTTCCAATAGAACTCAACCCTACAAAGATAGGTAGAGCTGGCTCAAAAGACGATATAAAAGTATACAACTCAGTGTGGTTTGAGCATGTTTGGGAATCGTCTATACCCAGGCGCCCTGCAGAAGGATTGTCTCCACACTTGTTGCATGAAAACTGCCATTCGTTGGGCAGAAACCAAAAACCACAAACTCGAATGCTCAACGGCCAGTAATCTGTCATAGAACAAAATGATTGCAGTAAATCCAGAGAAATAAGCTTTTCCAAGTCAATGACGATTGCTCTGAGATTTTATACTGTGATTTCAGGGCAGAATAACAACTAGATGTCAAACAAGAGTCTATTATGAATCTCTTACACTCAATTAGATTCAAACTGTCTTTCAGATGGAAAATAGTCATCCTTTTATATCTGGGTCTGTCTAACCTATTTCTTCTCGAATATAATGTTACCATCCCAGCTTTTCTCAAGAATTCGTAAATAGTAAGACTATAGCGGCAGAACGTACCCAAAAAAAAACAAGAATAGAAACTACTACCCCCATAACTTTATTATTACGGAGATGCTAGCAATACGCATGAAATTATTCGTTAAAAACAGCAAACATCCTACATACCAGGACATTCGACGATTTCTTTGCTGAAACCATACCTGTCACAAGGAAAATAAGTAACAGGTCATGGACAGGCTTAAGCAATCTTATTTGGTTTGATTCAAATCGGTAATATTATAACTAAATTACTAATAGTTTTCGACGTTCAAAACATTTAACTAGAGATCCAGTGTTGCATCTATAAAGTGAGAAAAGTACATTAAATAGGCCAAGTAAGCAGAAAATATTTAGTATATGAAGATAAAACCGGGATGGCAAAATATTTTGCACAATGATCAAATGTTACCACCAAGAGAATTCACAACTCACAAGACCAAGGGCGATTGCGGCCGGCTATGCCATATTGGAAGGTCTGTTACTGGATCCTACACCAATGAGTAAATCGGGTGACAGTTCACAATCTAATTTTTAACAATCAAATGTATCCTTCTAGGTATCTATGTTTCAAAGACACCTACTGCAAAAGGATAACAACTTAGGTTGAGTTTATCGTATCGCCATGATCCCCATTCTTCGGTAAAAAGAGGCCACATCCAATGAGTTACATCACTCCAGCTAACCTGGAAATGCATATAAATTAGTAAAGTTCAGGAAAAAAACACCAATGACATGTTTGTACCACAATCATATGGATTACCTTGCCAGTAGGGGCTTCTTTCAAGTACTTGTACAAATCCGGGAGTTCCTTTCTAAACTGTCTTTCAAAGCCTGATGGTGGACTGTACAAAAGAAGAATTGCAAGTGATCATCTTCCATTTCCAGGATGTCACACTCATACTTCCAAGCTACAAAGAAATACCTATACGGAACAACGTAAGGAGCAGCCACCACACAACGGATCTGGAAAAGTTCTGCTAGGCTCCATCCTTCCTAAATGTACAATCAGAACAACCACAGTTAGTCTTTCTTATCACATGACTGTAACCATCATTCATTGTCATTGATAGAGATAAAGCAGACACAACCAATCCTCTAACAAAGGAGAGTATTAAGCAGATGTACCAAAGCAAAGAAATTTATGACAACGAAGTCACCCTCCATGCAAGGACCCTTTCCGAAAATGCTTCCGAATGCAGAAAGACACTCTTGTCTGTGTTCCCTTTTTATCCTTTCTTTCTCCTCCAAGAATATTGTCCTCAGCGAGTCTGATTAAAACCAGAAATGATGAATGGTCATAGCCAAGTCAGAAGAAAACCAGAATTGAAGAAGAAATTAACAATAAAGTATTGACCTTTGTCGTTTTGAGTACCCTGAGCTTCAGTAGACAGAGCAGGAGGGGAAGTGATAGGAAAAAATGAAACTTTCGCTTTGATCAGGTGAGAGCTTAGGTTCTGCAACAAAGCAACCTCTTTTAACTTAGATTCTAGAGTTTCTGCAATTCGAGAACTTGAGAAGTAAAAGAAGAAAAGAACCAACCTCATGAGCCGAATGTGACATCAAAACCACAGAGTAATGTTGCTGATTACGAGCGAAAGCTGCGGCAATGGCCTGCAGACAAAAAAAAAAAAAAAAACACACCTTTTTGGTTTCGTTAACTAAGAGAAACCCAAAATCCGAATCGGGAGAGAGATTACAGCGAGAGGGTAGACATCTCCTTTGGTACCGAAAGCCATGAAAAGAGCGATGGCTTTTCTGCTCATTGACTCTTCTTCCTCCATGGTGGTGCTCATGCTCCGATGAAGTGTTCACTGTTCACTGCAGCTATCGAGTCTAATACACAGCGATTACCAAGGAAACGCGTTTGCAAATCGCGTTATTTAGACATTGGGCGACTCACCATTTCTTAAAAGCGTTTCAAATGGTTTGAACAAAACAGAGTCACCTTAAGAATCGTGGGTCCAAATTTGTGACTTAGGCCATATTCGTTTCATAATCGTTACAAAAAGCGGTAAGAGTTATCTAGCGTGAAAAGATAATGGTAAGAAATAGCGGTACAAAAAATATGAGCGGTCGAGGTGACCGATCAAACCCTGTAAACTATTAGCGAAAATAGGATAAACCTCAAACTTTGAAAGTTTTATAGAAACAATTTTGAATACTATTAGTAATGTGGCCTAACTAATCCCAAAAGGTAGCTCAAGGGAGAAGGATTGCCACATCCTATATATATTGCCCAAAGATCTTAATCCCAAGCAATGTGGGATATTGGACTCTAATAGCCCCTCTCGAGATGTGGGTGGGAAACGGTCCAACACGGAAACTGCCCGAACCCAACATCTCGGAAATACCACAACAAGACATGCCACTTATATGGGGCCACATAAGTGGGAAATCCATTTTGTGGGAATTTGCTTGTTGGGCTTTACCATGGGCTCTGATACCATATTAGTAATGTGGCCTAACTAATCCCAAAAGGTAGCTCAAGGGAGAAGGATTGCCACATCCTATATATATTGCCCAAAGATCTTAATCCCAAGCAATGTGGGATATTGGACTCTAATAGCCCCTCTCGAGATGTGGGTGGGAAACGGTCCAACACGGAAACTGCCCGAACCCAACATCTCGGAAATACCACAACAAGACATGCCACTTATATGGGGCCACATAAGTGGGAAATTCATTTTGTGGGAATTTGCTTGTTGGGCTTTACCATGGGCTCTGATACCATATTAGTAATGTGGCCTAACTAATCCCAAAAGCTAGTTCAAGGGAGAAGGATTATATAAATGGCAATCCTTCTTGAAAACCAATCTCTTTCATGTTTCTAGACACACTTGTTTCAGTTGTTTGATTCATCATGGAGGCAAATCCGAACCAATGTTGCAATAGTGAATTGCTTTCTAATGTATCAAACCATCACTTCACAACAAAGCCAAAGTAAAACTAAGTCTCATAGCTTTATGAAAAACTGATTCTTTTTTTCTTCATCTTTTTTGGTTCTGTACACAGTGTTTTCAAAGCCATTACTTTGGCATGTGAAGAACACAACGCAGACACTTTCCATCTCTCATAAGATCAAAAGCTTCATTAATATCATCAAAAGCCAGGTTATGAGTGACCAATTCATCGATCATGATCTCCTGCACCGCAGAAGAGTGAAAACATAAACAAAGTGTTCTTCGACTAAAACTAATATTCCTAATAATAGCTGCACTTATATACCTTGTTCATATACTTCTCAATGAGTGAAGGAATATCAGATTTAGGCTTCCAACCACCAAAAAGAGTGCCTTTTAAAGATTTCCCAGAAAGGAAAAGTCCGTAATGAACTGAAACTTCAGGCTTCACTTTCGGTACACCTAAAGTCACGGTCATGCCCCATCCCTGAGATATCCACATTGAAAAGAATTTAAAGGTATTCGTACACAAGATAGTGAGCCAAATTGAAACAAGGTGAGAGCAAATAGAAGAGAAATATTACATCCGAGCACGATTGTAAAGCAGTTGTAGCTATTCCCGTATCACCAACACATTCAAATGAGAAATCCGCACCTCCTTCTGTCATTCGTTTGATTACCTGAATTCCCAAGACATTGGTTCAAACTTTTACACCAATATGGGAACAAAGTTTTATCTAAATCATGGGCTTTAGTTTTGCTATTCTGAGCACAATCTAAAGATACTGGAATTACCTGAGATATATGTTCAGAGTAATCATTTGAATTGATGAAATCCGTGACACCAAACGTCTTTGCTGCAACAAATAAGAGACATTCAAAACAAGTCTAGAAACGGTAAGTTGTAAAATATCATAAAGCTATAATATACCTTGTTCTGCCTTAGCAGGATTTATATCAACCCCAATTATTTGGGCTGCTCCTCTTAGTTTGGCACCTTGAGCAACCTGCTCAAATGAGATTAAATCCCATATCAAACTCCACTAACACAGAAGCATCAAAATTTCTGTTGTCTCGATACTTACCGAAAGACCAACAGTTCCAAGACCAAATATCACAACACTTGAACCTTTTTGTACATCAGCCACATTCCATGCTGCACCAAGACCTAAAATTCCACCGTAGATTCTCAGTACTGACTATGAATAACTGTTTGAATTTTATCATTTACAAAATTATTTTTATCTACCTGCAGCTACTCCACAGCTCAGAAGACAAATTTTGTGTAGAGGTGCCACAGGATCAACTTTGACAGCACAACCAGAGTGAACCACAGTGTACTCGCTGAAACTTGAAACCGCACAGTAATGGTAAACAGGCTTTCCTTTGATGGAGAAGCGTGACTTCTGATCACTATGCATCAAACCTTTCCTCTCCATTCCAAGAACCTGACACATGTTACTTTTCCCAGAGATACAATGCCGACATGACCCGCATTCACCAGTGAATACAGCAAGCACATGATCTCCTTTCTCAAACTCCCTTACGCCTTCCCCTATGCTCTCCACTATACTGCAGAAACAACCATGGACACAATACTAGTATTCAAACCAATTAACTATTTCTTAACTCAATTCACAAATAACTAGTCGACAAATAAATTCTCCAAAAATGCCCCCAACGCATTCTCCCCACTCTCCTTTAAACCTTCACCTCTCAACTAACTGAGGCAAGGTCTGATCCTGAGCTGGCAAATCTAGTTATACTAATCTTATGCTAATTGCTAAAAACTGGAACAATGTTGCTAAATCACATTAAGAACGACAATAGAACACTCAATACCACATCACATTTTATGTATTCGAAACTTTTAAGGTTGTTCCTATGCTTGCATTATATATGACAAATAAGGTTGTAGACAGAAGTAACTTACCCTGCAGCTTCATGGCCAAATATTCGTGGCAAAAGAGACTGTACCAAAAAAAAATTGTAGACTTCATCAGAGACTCTTACAAGTTACAAGCCAAATTCAAAACAAGGTTTATCGTAAAAAAGAGGAAATGTAAACCTGAGATTCCCAAGCAGAGAGATCACTACGACAGAGAGATGTACAAACAACTTTAATTCTGATCTCAAGAGGTTGAGGTGGACTCACTTCAACTTCCTCCATAACCAATGGCTCACCAGCACGCCATGCCACAGCCGCTGCACAGTTTCTCAATCAAAAAACCTAATCTTTCATAAACGGAAACAAAAACAAAAACCCTTTCTTTTGTATACCTTTACAGGTTATGACTTGAGGTTGTTCGAAGGAGGAAGAAGAAGAAGACGACATTGTTATCCCAGATTTTCTAGCTTCAAGCACAAAATGAACTAACCCCTTAAGAAGAAGAAGAGGAAGAAACAGAGCTTCTTGATTCACCTAACACCGAAATCACCAACCACCATTGAGCTTAAGTGATCCAACGAAATTAAAAATGCTGACTTTACAGCTTTTAGAGGTCCCACGTTTGATGCAAGTGATTCTCGCTACCAACCCTTTTCGTTTTCGTCAACTAATCCGAAATTTCATATTAAATTCGAAACACAGTGTCGAATCGATTAATGTTCGAATCTCAGAAGCAGATTTACTGGTCTTGGTTTCTTCAGCGCTCGACATTTCTAGTGGAGTTTGTCACACGACTCGCACCGTAATTACAAGAATAAGCAAATCTCCAAAATCTCTTGTTGTTGTGATAAACAACAAACAAGTAAGGACTTGAAGACTGCTGCTATGGGGAGCGATAGAGTGGGCTTAAAATGGGCTCGATTGGGCTTATCGTACTCAATAATGTTCAATGACAATTATCGTAAAAGAGTGACGAATAGTATTTTCAAATATAATTTAAAACTTTTCCTAAATAATGTAAAAAGATTAATGGTTAGATCTTGCAAGCCACAAATTTTATGATCTTCTAGGCTCCTAGCTACTTAAACAAAATTGTATCGTTATTCAAATTTCTCAAAAATAATCATCGATTTCGCATTATCATTACATCAGACGTTAATGATATGATGAATTGTAAGGCATCAACCCGTTTAACAAAAAAAAAATGAATTGTAAGGCATCTCACTTTTATTACGAAGAAAATAGAAACTGATCAACAGAAAAAAATAGAGAAACATGCAGACATAGTCACGTCCTCACGTGGATTATAAATAGTCACGTCTTGTTTTTGGTCCTATCTTGCCATCTTGGTTAAATGTACATGGCCACAATAGTATGGATAGTAATAACGAAAAAAATGAAATTAAGTAACATTGGATTTTAGCAAGTATTAGTAAACCACTAAACTAAACGATCGAATATGACTTTGGCAAAAAAAAATTAATTTTTTAAATCAAGAATTTTCATAACACATGACATAGATTGAATATTTTGTATTAATTAAAGTACTTACCAATAACCCTCTAAAATTAAAACGATATTTCAAAATGAAGTTAAACGAAGAAAATTTCTCTTTCGTGTATTATATATGTAGAACTGACAAATTTACATACAATATATAAACTTTGTACTGGTGCATGGCTCTTATTTTTAGTAATTTTTTTTAGATATTTGTTATAGCAAATTAGCAATACTTGAAAAAAAACTTGAAAAAGACAAATATCATTGTATAAAAAAAATTTCATAAGTAGTAAAACTTTATAAATCATGTTTCTCTTTTAATGGAGAAAAGGGGTTCAAAGAACAAATGCATTATATTTTAATAAAATTGACCAAAACAAAAAAAACATAACAAATGCATTATATGATTTTTTTCTTTTTTGTTATTTCTTTTTTCTTTTTCGGCAACCTCATTTATCTTTGTGATGATACGACGGGGCCAATAAATAATGTGTCCATGTTCAGCTATATCTAAAAGAAAACTAAAGTAGTGATATTTTAACTTTTTCCAGTATTTCACTAAATTTACAATTTCATTTTGTTAAATTTACATGGTTCAATCATTATATTGCTACTTGATTGATTATCTATTAAAGCCATAAAAAAAAAAAATAATAATAATTAGTACGAAGCTGTTTTTATTTATTGAGTTGTGATAGGATGGACATTATAAGCAGCTACATGGTTACAAAACTACAAAGACATGAAGATAAATTGCTTAAGAAGAGTATACGTAGTAGAGTGGATTAGGGAGCTTGAAAGTCCTCCCTGGTGTGTCCTCTACCAAATCAGCCCACTGGTCTCCAATATTACCAACGATGTTGTATCCACTCTTCACTAAGTTCTTCCTCACCTTTGACTTGTACTTCACTTCCCTCTCTTTCGATTCCTTTGGCCTGTAACCGCGTTTCCCATATATTAATTGATACTTAAATTATTGTATATGAATATATGATTAAGCTAGTATACTTGTTTCTTACTTGAAAAAAATATGCTTCCAGTAGGTGAAGCCAGCAGCTTTGAGATTCTTTATGGTAGCTTCCCTAGCCGGTTCCCATCTTTCAGTGACTATGATGGGTTCAATACCGAGTTCTATGAGGTTTTCGTATAGATGCAATGTCTCCGGGAGCACAGTAGCTTCTCCGAGAAATACCCATTTCCGGTATGCTCCTATGGGTGACTTCTCTGTCCTAAGAATCAGGAAAGAAAGAAACACTTACTTTTAAGTACAAGACATAACTATTAAGAGTTGTAAAAGATAAATAAAACCAAACCACAATGTCTCTTTTTCATATATTGACATCTAAATAGTTTCAAAATCATGACAATATTGTGAAATATGCATTGTAATATTTAATAAATACCCGTATCCATATTTGGAGAAAAAGGGAACACTAGAGAGGAGGGTGTCATCAAGGTCAAAGATCCAAACATTGACGGTATCGTTCTTTAGTGAAAGTCCTTTGGCGTAGAAGTAAGCCTCTTTGCAAATCGTTTTGGAGTCGTATTGGTACTGTTTTGAAGTGGTAAAGTAGTCTTTAACGTAGTCTTTGCAATTCGCGGGTACCGTGTAGAAGTCTATGATGTTAGAAGTCTCAACACCAAGGTGCCAGCTTCTACAGTTTTGGTAATTGATTGAAAGTGATCGCTCTTCCTCTAAGAGTACTTCTGCTTCGTTCTTGTTTGATGTGAGGAGTTCGATGAGCCTAGGCTCGGACATGGAAGGCCGGCCGAGGGAGACCGTGGCGGCTAGAAAGAGAAGTGAGAGTGAGAGGATCTTCATTTTTTTTTTAATGGGTACGGATTATTTTTTAATTTGTAATGATATTTATGTGATGCAAAGGGTCGTATTGTTGTTTACTGTATGAGGAGATAAGTGTGTACGTGTATGGCTTCAGTGCATGCTGCAAATGCTTGTTTGTCCCATTATGGTTTTATATCCAACGAGATATCACACTTGAAACCACTCGTTTTTATGCTAAATTAGAATATGGCATTTTCTTGATTTAGTTTATTATTGTAGTAGCTTTTATGCTTGTGAACAAGATACTAATAATTGGACATGATTGCTTTAAATATAGAGATATGTACCAAAACATGGTTGTAAAAAGATTTCAAAAGCGCAATCAATCACGTCCAATTCTGAAGTTGTTACACATTAGTAGAAAATTATGTATGTGTGATGACGACTTTTGTTTGCGGAAATTTCTTGTGTAATTGGTAAACATAACAATGAAAAAGAAAAAGAAAACACTCAAGAGTGAAGTAATTTTTATACTTTTAAGCGAGTTTACCTTTCATTAAATTTTCATTAAATCAATCATTTTCCTCGTAGCATGTTATCTTTTCTGTGAAATTTTAATAATAAAGATTTGGTTTAGTTTTTTTTGGTAAATGAACAGATTATTTTTGTTAGTTGTCATTTTGTAAATAGACAGATTTGAGTTTAGTATATCATGAGAGAACTTTGTAATAAAAATAGAAAAAAGAAAAAAATAAAATCGGTCTTTATATAAAAAAGAGATTATTATCAATAATGCCAGTTTTGGACCCAATATAATCGAAAATGTCAGTTTCTTATTGGACTTCTAAGGAGTGCCACATACAGTAAAAACATGTGGCTGAATGGACGAAGATACCCTCAGCCAAAAGGAGAGGACTTTGCAGGATTTTCAAAAAATGAAGGAGATGAGACATTTTTTGCGTCAGCTACAGAAACATTAATTGGTGACAAGGTAAACTATTACCTAAAGGACAATTGATGACAATTGGGTTTAGAAAGCAAATTTGTCTATTATCTATTGATGTTATCCATTGATGTTGTCTATTGTTGTTGTCCATTGCGATTTAAAAAAAATGAAGGAGATGGGACAGTGTTTTTTTGTCTATACATCTAACATATGTATTATAGACAAGTTCATTTATGAAAAATTGGACTCAGTTTGCTATATACGTAGGATGGACAACAAATTAGGAAACAAAAAAGGATATATTACAGACATCGGATCTCGTCCACCAGATCTAGTCTACTGGATCTCGTCCACCAGATCTAGTCTACTGGATCTAGTCTACCGAATTTAGTCCACCAGATCTAGTCCACTGGATCTAGTCTACCGGATCTAGTCCATCTATACACAAATGTGAGATCCAAAGTGTAAACCTCGATGGATCGTAATGATATCTTCCATAGATGCACTACTTGTTTCATACTCTTGTCAATCACTTGTGGTTTCAAAAGATTTGTAGGATGGACAAGTTTGGTCCATCGGTTTCAGTTCACCAGATCTGGTCCATTGAAAGACAAAAATAAAACATGGCTGGAAAATTGATTTGGTCACCACGTGAACCACATAACTATCTAGAGTGAAAGCATCGTTGTTCATTGTTGTGGTCAAAACAGTTTCTTCCTCCAAGCCTTTGGTCTTCCTCCAAGCCTTTGGTCTTCCATTAGATGTATATTGAGAGAAAAAATAAATTGTTGAAATGAAGAAAAAGTTTGGAGAGAGAACAAATGTATGCTTGGAGAGAGAGAGGAGAGAGAGAGAGAAAGCTGAAGATATGAAGAAAGAGAAACAAAAATTTGAACATTTATTTTATTGATTTTTTATGTGTGAGTTGAATAATGGTACAATAGTCTGTTTAGAAAAGGTTGTGGCAGACGGGAAAAGAGATCAAAGAAAGTGGTATTAGCCAAAAAGATGAACATTGTTCATGGCAATGCTCATAATTTTCTCTATAAAAAATCTATGTTTAGAGATACGGTTCTGTAAACAAAATTGAACAGCTGTCATTTTGTTAAAATTTACAATAAATAAAAACAAGAATTATAATTTTCTTTTAAAAAAAAATCTTTTCTTCAGAACCTTTCACAAATTTTGCCGTTGAGGTTGGTTGAAGTACAAATTTATTTTGGCTACCTTTATTAATTACATCAATCACTTTATTTATATTTTTACCATATTATTTATTTGTTCGTGTGCTGATAAGCAAATGTTAGTAGTTAGTACGACACAGCATGACACTTTCCAAATGTATAATTTACGAGATTATTGTTCGTGTGCTGATAAGCAAATGTTAGTAGTTAGATATGTTTAATTTTTTACTAGACTTTTAACACGCACGTGTCAGATAATTATAATATATATCAAAAATATATTTTACATCTCAGAATATAAAGCTATATATAGCAATATTTTAATTCCAATACTTTTTCACACTTTCACTTAATTTATTATTTTCTGGTTCAAATTGATTTTTTTTTTTTCATTTTGTAACAAATTGTCTATCATCCTTAATTATAAAGAAAAAAAAAACGAAAATTTATTCATGAGTTGTGATAGGATGGTGACATATTATTTTACCAGTGCATGGCAAGCGCCAAGCCGGCTACAAAGATTAACGAAAAGACACATAGATACGAAGTAGGTGCAGAGAGAGATGCTTAAGAAGGTACGTAGTAGAGTGGGTTAGGTAGCTTGAAAGTCCTCCCAGGGGTGTCCTCAACCAAATCAGCCCATTGGTCTCCAATATTGCCAACAATGTTGTATCCTTTCTTCATTAAGCTATTCCTCACCTTTGACTTGTACACCACTTGCCTCAACTTCGAGTTGTTTGGCCTGCGTTTCCATATATATATATATACTCGTACCAATCACATATGTGATACACTTACTTAGTTACTGTATATAACAAAGCTACTTGATTCTTACTTGAATATGAGATGCTTCCAGTTGCTCACACCAGCAGCCTTGAGATTCTCGACAGTGACGTTTGACCACATCCTCCATCGGTCACTGAGGATGATTGGTTCAATCCCGAGTTCTAAGATGTTTTGGTAAAGATGCAACGTCTCCGGGAGTCCCGGTGTTGATGCTCCGGTGCCTATCCACGTCCAGTACGCCCCCGCATCTAGATTCTCAGTCCTAAGAATTGAAAAAAAAAGGTACTTTAAAATGAAATTACAAAATAGATATGGACTAAAAAGAAACATTTAGGTCGTTCAAACCTAAATGTGTCTTTCCATATATATAGTATGGTCATCTAAAGTCTAAACATTTTTAAAAAAAAATATGAAGATAAGATTGTTAATGCAATGGAGGTGGTGTATATAGGTAGGTTAAGAACTAATGATAACAATTATTACAATATATGTATACCCGTATCCATGTTGAGCGTAGTAGGGAAGACTAGAGAGGAGGGTGTCGTCTAGGTCAAAGATCCAAACATTGACAGTGTCGTTCTTTAGGGCAAGTCCCTTGGCGTAGAAGTAAGCCTCTTTGCACACAGTTTTGGAGTCGTATTGGTACTGTTTGGAAGTGGTTAAGTAGTCTTTAACGTAGTCTTTGCAGTTTGCGGGGACCGTGTCGAAGTCTCTGATGTTAGAGGTCTCAACACCAAGCTGCCAGCTTCTGCAGTTGGGGTAGCTGATGGAAAGCTGCTCTTTCTCTAAGATCTCGGCTTCGTTCGCCAAGATGTTGTCCGACTTAAGGAGCTCGATGAGCCCTGGAACGGATGCTGAAGACCGGACGTGGGAGACCGTAGCGGCCAAGAGCAAGAGAAGTGAAAGTGAGAGGATCTTCATGTTTTTTGTTGTATGGTTTAGTGTTTGGTTTGTGATGTTATTTGTGTGATACAAAAGGACGTATTTATAATGAAGGTGGGGATACTTTACGGTAAGGTTAATTATGAATTTATGACGACGGATGGGAAATCAAGAAATGATAAATGAACGTGTACGTTATCGATTGGTGCAACAAATGCTTCTGGCCCATGCAATGTTTCTTATCGACGAGATGTTTCATCCATACCACTCGTTTTTAGAGCACGTTTTGAGTGTGCAAAAGTATAATTTGACGTTTTGTTGTTTTAATCATAGTTTTTCTTATTGTGTCGGCTTTCAATACTTGTAAAAGTTGGTATCAAGTGTACTCTTACTACACAGTTACACTTTATTAAAACACTAGTTATTAGAGAAGTTGTTCCACATTGCTAGAAAACTGTATATGAATTTGATAGGTTGAGTATAAGTTACGTTGTGTCTTTGCAGGAATAGTTTATAGAGTAAGTGGCTCAAGCAATAATGAAAAGACATTATATCCGAGAAAAAGAGTATTAAGAGTGACTTACATTGTGAATGGTTTTTAATTTTCAGTTTTTATTAATGCTGCTACAGTAAAGAAGCTTTAGTGGAGCTTCAAATAATGTTGTACTAAAATCATTTGGTAAATTATCACTAATTAATTACACAGCATTAGTTTCTTTATCAACTTTTTTTTTGTCAACTAAGCTTTTTTATATTTCGATATATATATGTACAGGGGCGGACCTAGGTGATGGATGGTGGTGACACTTGCCTTCAGTAACGTATAAATTAAAGAAATTTTAGTAGTGAACAATAATGTTGTAATGGCAAAGTGGTTAATACTGTATTCATTAATAGATTGAAATTGCTGGTTCGATTCCCTATATCTACATTTTGCACCCACTAAAATATTATGCTGGATCCGCCCCTGTATATGTATATATATTATTAACATGTGTATATATTCATATACGTGTATATAATAGAATTGGTAAGGACTCTGGAATGTCCTGGTTTATTAAACTAATTATGTTGTAATTAGCTGGTTATTTCCGGTTATGCTTAGTGAGTAGAGCATAAGAACTTGTAACAAACGATTCAGTTCATTAATGTGAAATCTGAGTTTTCCAGATCGTCCTTACCAATTCTATTATATACACGTATATGAATATATACACATGTTAATATATATATATATATATATATATTATTTTGAATCGCAGGCCAGAAAAAAATTTGCAACAAAGCTAATATATATATAGATACCATTATCTTTCAATGAGGGAAGAAAGATGGACATGAGCTGAATAATAAGTGATAAAACAAGATGATAAGATAAAAAGGAATAAGAGGTCAGAAATTGCATGTTTAATAAATAATTCGTAAAAATATATGAAAATAGCTATAGTAACAATTTTACTGGACCCGACATTAGGAACATTATCTTTGTCATCGAGATTTTCTACAGAAAATTGCATCATGGTGATAGGTATGGTTGATAATGCTGCCGTTGGTTAAACAATAGTATGATTTTTCTCTTACGTTAAATTTTGTAAAAAGTGGCTTTTCTCTTATGTTGTTTCTAAAAAAATTTAGATCATGATAAAGTTCTTATGCCCAATTTAATAATTCAGTTAAGCACAGCCCAGATCCAAACCATAAATTTAGCATGGGTTTATTATGTTTAAAATGTACAATCAAAATGGACAAATCGAACCTATACAATTTGAAAACCAACTGAACTATATTTTAAAAAATTTTAATATGGTTTTCAATGGAATATTTGTTTAAACCTTAACCAAAAAAAGAGTTGATCTAAAATAATATATATATATATATATATATACACGTATATAAACAAAAGAAAATCAAAAATCTAAATAATTACTTCGCTCATATTTATTGAGTTATTATAAAATGGACGTTTTATTTTAGAAGTGGCACTGGAGCAAGTTTTGACCGCTTATTAGGCTTTCAATCTTGCTTGCTTGTGACGTTTTAAATCAACGGACTTTATATCTATTTATAGCAAACTCATTATTGTAAAATGATGACTTTAAGTATAACTTGTGTTCGGATGATATATATCAATATTAAAGAAAACACTATACATTAATCGAATGATGATCCAGCACGTGATTATTATACATCATGCGTTGATAAACAAATTTCACAGCAACACCGAGTGTGGAACTCCGGTGTATGATGATACAATTAACATACATGTATTCATATTTCAGTACTTAGAGTAAACAATAACTTTTGTGTAGACTATACTAATTAATAATTTAGAAATTAAGTCCTACTAAATGAAAAAAAAAAAAAAACACAAAAGCCTTGATATAAGAGCTAATGCCAATACTATAGATGAAGATAATCAATCGATGGCGATGGTGATGTATACATACACTTGTGAGGAGAAAACGTTACAAGCTATCCACGTTGCAAGTTCATAGATTAGGATTTGGGTGCATGTTTCATAAATCATATGGATTAGTAGGAAATCAAGCCCATATTTAGCCCACTAATAAGCTTTAAGGCTTTAATATTAATTTTAGACTAATAATGATTTTACTTTTGACCCAAGATTTCCTTTATAAATAAGAAGCCCTAATGTTTACAAATGCATTATAGTCGCCGTCACTGTCGTAATCAGAAGACAGCGAAGCCACTTAGGTTAGACTCAGGGTTTAATTTGTTTCGTTTTGGTTCTATATTTGTCTGAAGTAGTGTGTTCTGAGATCAATCTCATAGCTAGTCTTGTTTCCTTAAGTTAGTTGCGTATTTTGTTTTCTGACTGATTACGGGAGTAGTGATTCAGGCAGCCTCCTTGTCAAAAGTTAAAACAATGACATGTAAGAGGTGTTTAATTACTCCTACAATGAACTCTTGTTTCTGCTCTTCAGACTTGCTGAGATATTTTTATGTCTTTGAAGCTGGTCTAGTAGTCTTGAGCACATTCTTTCTCTAGATTTGTTAGAATTAATCATAAAATCTTCAATCATTCTGCTGCAATAACAGAGTGTTATGTTGTTTTTTTCACCCCCAAAACTTTATGGTACAGTATTCATGTTAGGGTGGATTTAGAAGAGATAATTCAATTAATAAATCTCTGCTAACTAACCATTAATATTATTGTGGAATACTAGCTAATTGATCATTTTACAAGAATTTTAATTGATAAAGAGTGAAAAATAAAATTCTATTACAACTTCATATATGAGCATGAATACATTATCATAAGAATCAATAGCTCTAGGCATCTCTGGTTAATTTATCTAGTTTTGTGTTTTTTGGCTATCTAAAATTCTGTCGAATAAAACTTTGGTTTGGTTTGGAACTCATTTCTTTCGGTTTGGTTAAAGGGTTTGGAAAAAAAATTCTATTTTTTTTTTCTATTTCGAACTTCGAGGAGAAGTGAGTTCCAATTTCCAAACCAAAATGTTTTGTTAAATTAGGGTTTGTTATGGGCTTCCAACTCAAAACCAATTGGCAATGAGTGGATTGGCCCTAACCCTTTATATATTACTTAAGTCCCATCACATCTTCTTATGTGGGATCTTTTCTCCACACGCCCCCTCGAGATAATGGCTCTTTTAGCCATTAATCTCGACAGAATCCATCACGCCCCCTCGAGATAATGCTCTTCTTTTAGCTATCTCGATGGAATTGGGCCTCTTTTGGGCCATCAATTAATGGGGTGATCGGGCCTCTATCCGGGCCGGATTAATTAATGGGTCAGCGTGTGTTCGGGCTCTGATACCATGTTAAATTAGGGTTTGTTATGGGCTTCCAACTCAAAACCAATTGGCAATGAGTGGATTGGCTCTAATCCCTCCCTTATATATTACTAATGTCCCCTCACATCTTCCGATATGGGATCTTTTCTCCACACGCCCCCTCGAGATAATGGCTCTTTTAGCCATTAATCTCGACAGAATCCATCACGCCCCCTTTGGAGTAAACGATCATATGACTCAAAAGTATCCACAAGGGGAAAAAGATTGTCTATGCACAGTTTTGCAACATTAAACAAGTCGATGGTTATTCTTATTTAATTTTTTGGCTTTGCATAGAGCCAGTTTCATACATTCCAACGGTATCACTCAATGTACACACATGAATTGTTTTATGCAAGACACATCACACATGCTATTATCCACGTTAAGCTAGTGTATACGTACCACACACAACACAATCAATTTTTACCGAACTCTAGTCCCATCATGCTAGACTTGCAGAAAACTTGTTGTAAGAGAATTCGTCTCTAGCTAATATTAAATGAGTGGAACATCGAAGTCAATCTTTACACGATGACACACGTAGATGATTTGGTCGCCATGTCAAACGTGTAAATCAGAAATGACAAAATGTTATTGGTAGTACTCTATCCGATTGAATAGTTCAAATACTGATGATAGTCGAATGAAGAGCTCATGGCGGAAACATTTTAAAATGTATAAAGCTTTCGTAAACTCATCATAAAGCATTACAAAGTTTGTCTTTAGTACATTAATTGATTTTTTTGTTACTTTTACTTGTATATAAGTAATTGACGTATAACGTACATTTATATAGCGAAATCGTTTTATTTTAGATAGTTATAAATATGTGAAAACGTGAAAAATTGGTATACTACATATTATATATTTATCACTAAGCGAATATTAAGTTGCGTAAGTAGTCAATAATTATATATACAGCTACACACACACGATTCAAGTGACCCAAAAGAAAGATGTGTGCATATTGCATGTCGCCTTCCAAAGTTAATGGTGTTACCATAATAACACACATTGCTTCATCACACGTCTTATTCTGTTCTTTAACTAATTATAGCTTACTAATTAGTGCGCCCTCCCTAATTACTTTTGTTTTAGGTTCCAATGTTTACTTGATAGGTTGATATCTATTGGTACTAATGAATTGTATTAACTTGCTATAAATTTAATAAATATATATATATATATATACAGTATATGTATACTTCATGTAACGTAGTTTGTATAGATCGTATTGGATATGATACCATATATTACCATGTAAAAGGTTGAAATGTTGAATAATATATATATATATATATATGTTGTTGACTACACAACCTTTAAAATTTTGAACAAATATTTTTCCTTCTACATGACTACATCAATTTTGAATAGTGTATTTTCCGATTTATCTGATAACATATGTGTAGATATGATATTAATTATGATGATTAAGTTTCCATTTAAATTTTTTAGGGGAAATAATCTACATTAATTAATTGATATGCATGGGAAAAATCATTTTATATTTAAAATTTTGTTAAATCAAGATTATTTTCCCATTATTTTTTTCATCTAATAAATATATGGAGACATAAAGAAACCATTAAAGTTGAAGAGGTTAGGAAATATAAAAGTTAAAGAAAGAAAAGAGAGTGAGAGGGAGAGCACAAATGGAGTGGAAGAGATGGTACTTGGACGTGATTCTTGTGCCTTTGGCTCTTGTGATGATGCTTTGTTACCACATCTACTTGTCCTTCATGGTTCGAACCCATCCCTTCTCCACCCTCCTCGGCATCAACTCTCGCGGTCGTCGGATCTGGATTTGTTCTATGATCAAGGTTTTATATACATCCATCTCCATTTTCACATACCAAAAAGATATAGTTTTATGAAAATTTTATGGTATATAAATTAGGCATTATCATCGTATTGATTAGAGCTTTGGTACGAGGACATAAGCCTTGGTTCTGGTCTGAAATCTTATGATAAAAGTATGTAATAAGCTCTAAAAGTTGGGAAAATATATAAGATTTATTGTTGTTTTATTTGTTTAACTTTTCAGGAGAATCAGAAGATGAACATATTGGCGGTACAAACACTGCGTAACATAGTAATGGGTGCGACACTAATGGCTACGACATGTGTGCTCCTCTGCGCAGGTCTAGCCGCAGTGTTAAGCAGCACTTACAGCATCAAGAAGCCTCTAAACGACGCCGTTTTTGGCGCTCATGGAGATTTCGCGATAACCATCAAATACCTAACGATTCTCACGATTTTCATCTTCTCCTTCTTCTTCCACTCTCTCTCCATACGTTTCCTAAACCAAGTCGCCATTCTTGTTAACATACCTAATTTAGACACTAACCCTTCTTCTGGTTGCTTCTCCCTTACGTCTGAGCATGTCAGTGAGATGTTCGAAAAGGGTATCTTTCTCAACACGGTAGGTAACAGGTTGTTCTACACAGGCTTTTCTTTGATGCTATGGATCTTTGGTCCCATCCTCGTGTTCTTTTGCGTTATGGTGATGGTTCTTGTTCTTTATAACCTCGATTTCGTGACAAGCAACAACAATAAAGAGAAGCAACGTGTTGTTGATTGCCGTCGAGCCAGCTCTGATCTTAATTCTTAATGATGGTGATGAATGATGATGCTGATGATGATGATGATGCCACATATATGATTTTTTTTTCTTTTTTAAGGACGATAATGATGTTATATTATCCTCCGGATTGTTAATAAGTGCACTTGGAGAGTTTCGTTTCTCTTGTTGTGATATACGTTTCACAAACTTTTATTTATATCCTTAATTACCAAATTCATGTCATACGTTTTGGAAATATATTATATATTACATTTTGTAAACAGAAAGAAAGATCCTATATAAAATATTTTATACTAAATATTAGAATATTGAAATTGTTTTCTTTTTTTGCTTTTTAAAGAACATTCATTTGGTCCCTTTAAAACTAAAACGAAAGATACTTGTGTTATTTCTATGTCATTTCATCTGAATTTGTTAAAAAGTTTTATTGGTCACGAGAAATCTTGTTTTCGTCTAGAGTTTCAAATGAAAAACTTTGTCCTATAATATATAACAATTCTATTTTTCAAAATGATATAAATGTTAATATAAAGTATAGTCCATTCACGTGGTACCACCCGAATTAGAAATCATACTCTTATGATCAGAGTTTACAACCCTAACGTGAAAAATGTTGGAACTCATTTTGGAAATTTTTTTGCTCCGACTACTATACATTTCTTTGATGAAAAGATCGTATTACAATATCGAGCCATGAATGTTTCGTTTATAACGTTTTGTACTCATATGAAAATTTGGAGATAAATTATTTAAATAAAAAACAAAAATATCTAACATTGGATGTTTGAGAACTACAAATTAGCTAGACAATATAATTTTTTTATTCATCAACGTGAAGCTTAAAAAAACTTAGATCACTAATAGTATATAATTAGTTATAATGGATTACAAAGTTCAAAACCTTGGATACACTATATATGGTTTAGCCTATTCTTTCTATCCCAATTTTTTTCTTCTAATTTTGCATTTGTATAATGGATTCGAATCAAATGAGCTAGAACTAAAGTTCTTCAATCTCCATGATCATTGTCTCCGCCATAGTGTAGTCCTCATGAGGGTTTTGCTTTTGCGTTTCCATTTAGAGAGAATACGATATGCATGGTTCCATGTCCATCTTATGCGTAATGCAAAGGGTTAACAAATTTTTGAATTCTAGCTTTTGTTATTATCTAATATAGACGTATAGTAGTCGGTCGATCGTAAACTTTTGTAGCCCACTAAGTTAGAATGTTCTAGTTAATGAAAAAAAATATATATATGGATTCTATTTCGGATTTGAATAACTTTTTAATTTTTAAAGATACATTTCATAGTTTGTTGCTTTTGATTGTTTTGTTGTGAAAATATTATAACTTTTAAAAGGAAGTGCAGATCAAAAGAAAGCAAAAGTTGGTTTAGACCCAAAAGTTATATAAAACATTAGAGAAAATGAAAAAAAAATGAAAGAAAAAAAAGCATTACTGGTGCTGGAGAAAAGAAACGTCTTTAGATCTGCTTTCCAAAAGCATATGACGATAAAGTAAGAGAAAACAAATGGAGAAGCATATTGTGTTGTTAGTGTGACCAAAAAAATTCATCAAACTTTTGGTTTGGTATTTAAAGCTAAATTATTTTTACCTTTTTACTACTAAATCATTTTTTCACATTTCGTGTTCTTCGTAATATTAATCAAGCTTTTTTTGTATGTTATTTTTTAAAAATGGTTATGAGCACATATATCACGCACATATGATATATATGTTTGAATAACTAAAAAGTTCTAGACCTAGACACCCACATTCGTAAAATATATATAAAAGAATAGTTTATTTATTTAAATTTTTTTTATAATATTGTGAAAATATTCGATAATTCATTTTTTTAAACAGCATTACAAATTATAAGCCTTTCACTAAGAGAAACCTGTTTCCAACCCGGATTTTGTAGTTCATTTCCAATATTTAATTTATATTGTTATATTATCCGACTATGCCACTAATATGTCATATTACATAATTTTTGGTTAATTTTTAGATCTAATTTATACAGTATACTAATCTTAAGTTAGTCGTTTTAAAATTCATATACTAATCTAAAGTATGTAGTCTAATACTTGTTGTTTATCATTCTTTTCATATTTAAAGGCAATTTTGTAACTATTCTATGATCCTTTTATGAATAAAATCAGTTTATATGCCTATAAAATTATAAAACACGTACAAGGTCCAATATATTAAATGAGTCTCTTACGTACCTTAGACAGTCTCCTCTAGTTAAAGGATTAAGGTTATCATTACCATATAATTAGCATAACCTTCAATAAAACTATAAGACATATCACATATGTATGCCAAGGAAAAAATAATACAGAGCCTAATCTCTCTGTCTTTGCTTTTCAGTTCTCATTGTTATTCGTTGTCATTAAAGAAAAAAAGTTTGAAGTGAGGACGTTGCATTGACAAAGCAATTTCAATTTTGCTTAGCCATTAAGAAGCTTTTTACAACTTTTAGTAAAGAAGAGAGGCTTATATAAAGAAGATGTATGTCACAACTTACTCTTCCCCTCCCCTCTTTTCCCACCAATTTTTCTTCTTCTTGTGTGTTCATATACCAAAAAAAGATGGATGGTCACACAGCCAAAGACATGGGTATGAAGAGAAGTGCTTCTGAGTTGGCTCTACAAGAGTATGTCACTAAGTTCTTGTCTTCTTCTGCTTTATCAAGACAAGAATCTATCCTTCTTGACACAATCCCTCTAGACCCTTCTTTCGATCTTATCAACCGGGTTAGTCTTTGGTTTCTTCCTTCTGTTGTCTCTCTTGTTCCTGTTGTTGTTGTTGTGTCTATACCAAGATCCAGAGTTTGTAGTAGGAGTCTTGAATTTTTTTTTCCTTTGGTTGTAGGATTACACCAGTGAATTAAGAGATAGTCTTTTGTGGTCTGACTGCTTGATTCCGACTGGAAATTTTCGCGATGCACAGTCCTCAATCTGCGGTATGTGCAGGTCTCTTTGATTTGAATTTATGTAATAAGTCTTGTTGTAGACACTTGTAGAGTTGTAGTTAATATTAATGTTCACTTGTATTGCTCTTATCTGCAAAGAGAATCTGTCAGCTGATAGTCCAGTGTCAGCCAATAAACCTGAGGCAAGAGGAGGAGCTAGGAGAACCACGAGTGGATCTTCTCATGATCACTCTGACGAAGAAGATGCAGAGACAGAAGCTGGACAATCTGAAATGACTAATGATCCTAATGATTTAAAACGTATTAGAAGGTGTGTTGGTTGTTGGATACTGTTAAAAAGTTAGATGTAAAACACTGAGAGAGAGAGAAAGACACATAGAAGGTGATCACCGTTTTTTACCCATTTTTGTGATGTGAACTCAGGATGTATTCAAACAGGGAATCAGCAAGGCGATCGAGGAGAAGGAAGCAAGAGTACCTGGTAGATCTTGAATCTCAGGTAAGGTTAACACATATAGCTGGTTTGATGATTTGATTCGTAATGTTTTGATGATGACCTTGTGATTTCTTCAAGGTTGATTCTTTGAAAGGCGAGAACTCGACACTGTACAAGCAGCTCATAGACGCAACACAACAGTTTCGTAGCGCTGGAACAAATAACAGAGTTCTCAAATCAGATGTTGAAACTCTGAGAGTCAAGGTATCATCAATCACATGCTCTCTCAATTTGTGAAAGTCAGAACTGGAAAATGCTAAGTTAAAAATAACTTACAGGTGAAACTAGCAGAAGATTTGGTAGCTAGAGGTTCCCTCACTAGCAGCTTGAATCAACTTCTACAAACTCATCTAAGTCCACCATCACACTCCATCAACAGCCTGCACTACACAGGAAATACCTCACCTGCCGTTAGAGTCCACAGTGACCAATCTTTGTTCCCTGGAATGACACTTTCTGGACAGACCTCAAGCCCTGGACTTGGTAATGTATCCAGTGAAGCTGTTAGCTGTGTCTCAGACATCTGGCCATGACTCTCTTTCTTCACAGCATGTAATGATCACTCAGCTAAATTCCTGTATGTGTTTCACTGTAGAACTAGAAACATAATTAAAGCCGACGTGTTCGTTAATTACTCTAGTTTCGTTAACAAAATTCACAGTCCCAAGAACCCTCTTTTGCCCCCTTGACACATGTTAAACTTGGAAGAATTACAAAATCAACAAATTCAGGTTTGTGTCATATATACTTTATTGCTCGAAATCCTGCAAATAGTATAGGACAATACATTATATTCTCACAAGGGAATTGCTCGATACAGTTCCTTGAGTATACAGACAGACAAACAAAAACATTGATGATTACACTTTACTTTCCAGTAATGTCTATAGGCTATTTAAGGAGACCACTATGTAAGTTGTAACATGAGCAGGCAAAACTTATGTAGAAAACCAACCTCAGTTGATTAGAGGCGTACCCATCTCCGAATCTGGACCTATAGCATTTGAAAGGGAGAAGTCCTTAGGCAAGGGGATATTTAATTCTGAGCAAACCAACTTCATAATGTTAGCAGTAACACCTCCCATAGACATCTTGTTTAGTGTTACTGCAATGGAAAATCTGTTTTTGATATCACAGAAGCCCGTTGATCCTCCCATCCCTGAATGTCCAAAGCCAACCAGAGACCCATCTTGTGAAATGACGCGCTTAAAACCAAGTCCAAACTTCCCATCAGGCACTACTAAGTCACTGTAATCTCCAGCACCCATGAAAGCATCATGGATCCTCGGGTTGTTAAACATATTGTGAATATCATCTTGGTGATCATCACTACTGATCTCAGTTTTACCAGCAGAACTGCTACTATCAACTAGCCTGGCTAAACTTTCTGTATTTGACTCTCTGCTACTACTAGCACTCATAACGTGCTTTTCATCATAAAGCCTCTTTTTTTGATGATCTTTTGGTTTAAGCTTTTCTGTAGCTGCCATCTCTTTACCCTTTCTCTTTTTTGTTGAGTCTTTCAACGATGTGAATTTCGGAACATGGGTGTGGCTACCTAGTGGTGGCTGGGATAGAGAGGAATGTGGAGGTGGCACTAGGCCACCATCAGCTAGGGTTGCATAGTACCGTGCAAGTGCACGAGCAGAGCAATGTCCATTAGCCGCAGGGATTATGGCTCTGCGCACATTCAATGTATTAAATAAGACTGGCAAGTTGGTTGCCAGTTGTAAGATCTTGTCAGGCTGAAATGCGGAAGGAAGTTCAGGCTGACTGGCAAGGGACGAAAGTTTGCTCAGTTCATCCGTGTCCAACGTCAATGTGGCAAGCCTAGATTCAACACCTGTAATAAGATGTTAGATAATTCTTAACAAAGCTTGGAGCCTAATTTACAAATGTCTGTTACTATTTACCTGGAGGGATTCCAATGTACAGTTCCCCATCAATCTTTAGGGGCTTAAGAATGGACTCTTCAAGGATCTCCTGGAATTTCTTTCCAGAAGCATACTGTTCAAGATTATTTAAAGCAAGATTGACATCAACATAGTAGAATTAAGAGAAAATTTATAACTTGACTTGCATCAGTTTTATGCTTAAACCATGAATGATCTGCTTAGTTTACCTCAAGGATTCCACCACATAGCCATCCATACGTGAGATAGTGATAAAACTGCTGACTGCCAGGCTCTGTTTCAGGTGATGAATTAGCAATACGTTTCAAACATTCATCCCAGTCACAGATAAGCAGAGGATTTTCTCCTACAGGGTCAAAGGCACTATGCAGCCCAGATGTATGGTTAAGCACATGATGGACCTGAAACAAAAAAACGAGGTATTAAAATTGAAGGCAATATTTCACACTAGATTTCAAAATGGTTAAGTGACAGTGTAGCTCCCTTACCTTAATAGTATCTTTTCCATTTGATCCAAATCCTGGCCATATATTTGCCACAGTCTGGTCGAGCTGGAGTTTTCTGTATCAATAAATACTATCATTACTAAAGTATGACTAAGACCATGAGTTCTGCAAACGAGATCATGGAATTAACAATGAGACCAATATGTAAGACTTGAAGCCCATTTGGAATGTCAGGGTGTCTGAAATGAATACATGACAAAATTGAAAGCTTATAATGTTGTTACTCACCTTTTGTCGACAAGCCAATGTATCATTCCAGCAGTGACACCCTTTGTCACAGAGAAAACAGGAAATAAAGTATCAGGTTGAACTGGACGTGGGTCATATCTTCCAAGCACTCCAGCGGAAGTGTCAATAATGACTTTCCCATCTTTATATGCACATACCTAAACAAACATGGCTGAGTTAAACCAAAGGTAAAATGAAAAGAAATCATCTTGCAAGCCAGCAGTAAAAGAGCGTAGCTCACCTGAATTCCAAGAATTTTCTGAATACTCCCAAGTTCAGTGAGCAGCTTCCTCAGTTTGGACTCTACATCAGAATGGATTGGCGAGTCATGTATCCAGTGAGCATCTACAGTTGGTCCTCGACTGATACTCCTACAAAATCACATTATCATTGTACGAGATATCTTACATGGAAATGATAAAATGAACAGCAAAATTCTAAGGGGGCTTACCCCAACAGAACAGATTCGGCAAATGGTCTCATGATGTCCAGATAAACAATCCGAACATTCATAGTGGATGAAAGTCCTAAATAGTCGACAAAATTAATAAGTAAAAAATACTAGCAAAGTAATATAATTGATCCAATCCTTTGACGTAATGAGGTAAAGTAGTATGATTCACACATCATACCTCTGAGTAGATTAATGACCCTTGCAAAAATAACAATATCACCAGGAAATGCATCTATCTGCATCAAATGTTTTCATTTAGATATTGATGATCACCAAGGCATATACTTGAAAGAAATTAATGCTTACTGGATTAAAGCGTTTAACTTCTTTCTGGCTGAGTTGCATCTTCTCTTGTATAACTTTCATGTTTTGCACTCTTTGATCGTTTAGGGTTTTTAGCGTTTTCTATTAAGAGAGGAATCTATAAGGGCGGATCCACTATAGTTACCCCAATAGAGAAAGCAAGGCTATGGAAGAAAGAAGTAATTTTACTTACCACAGCTTCGTTTGACGGAGTTGAAGATCGGAAGAAGAGACCTGCCACGCTCATTGCTTGATCTGGCAGGTCTAGGCGCAGTTTCAGTCCCATTTCTGCAAAGGCAGACAAAAGCGCCACTTGATCTCCCTGTGAAATAAATCAATTAAAAATCCAACCTATGGCCTATAGTTCAACAAACAAATAATATTCACAGAACTGGAGTGCAGTTGGCTCACAGCTTTTTTCTTTCTTTTTTTTTAATCTTTTTTACAGTTTGTTCTTTTTTACAGTTTGTTTAAATTTTAAATATTTAAACTCTGTTAACGAACAAACTCATCACTCTAACATCCTAAACAAAATGATCAACTAATGGGCTGGGTAAGACAAGTAGAAAAGAGAGATGTATTGCATAATCTTTCACAAACCTCTGCCGATGCTAGAAACATCTTGGCTAGGGCTTGTTTCAAGGAGTGTGAGATTTTCTTTGTAAGCCCGAAATCAAGTAATATAGGACGGTGTGGTGGTTCCTTACTGACAAGAAAATTTCCTACAAAACAGAGTATAGACTCAATTCTATCAGATGAACACCATAAGTCTAAGAAATGGTGTTTACAACACAGAAAACAACTGGCGAACTCCAAAAACAATCATGAGGACTATACCTGGATGAGGGTCGCCATTGAAAAATCCATCTACATATATCTGATGGGCATATGCACGAGTGATCTCTTCAACGATCTTTTGTTTGTCCACACCAAAAGCATCTAGAGATTCCACATCATTCAAACGAATTCCATCCATGTACTCAAGTATAAGTACACTCTCAGAAGACTGTCATTTAGAGCAACAGAGAAGGTCTAAGACATAAGTAGCAGGAAACGAAAAAAGGAAGGAACAGCTTTCAGCTAAATTCATTATAATTAATGCTCAATTTAAGTCTACACTGATTATCTGGGACAATCTATGTTACACTTTAGCTACATTGGTCCACTACTTACCCTAGCTCATTTTATAGGCAAGACCCAATATAGACAACATGCAGCATCAGGGATACCATGATTTAATTATACAGAATTACCATCCGTAAAGATGACCAATACATCTATATACATAATTCTTTTAGTATTTGGATGTCTTTTGTGATTTTCACTAAGGGATTGATGTTTCCATCCTAAACTTAAAAACTGTACATAACAATTCGTACAAATGTATGTATGCTTCAGAGTAGGACGAGAACACAAAATATAAGAACCTGAATTATATCTGGAATTAGGACATCAACACGATTGTCACTTCTAACTTCATCATTTGTCTTCTTGCACCCGAGATTCATAGATACGGCTCGAGTATTTTCTACATATTGAGAAACAAAACAAATATGGGGAAAACTCAGGAAATGCAAATTCAGAGTGACGTGTAAGCATGAACCTGAAAAATGCTTAATCTAGGAAAGGAATTCAAAGACACAGATGCATATTTTTACCATGTTATTATAATCATAGCCATGGTTCAAGATTAAAAGAACATGTGACTAGAGTGGTAAGAAATGCATAATCTAAACTCCAAATTTGCCAACACGTGACAGAGATGAATATTAATCCAGCAAGTCTAATTCAGAACCACAAGCACATCCCAAGAACTTGATTATAGAAAGCAATCACAAGCTTTGGTGCAATTATAGTTTTCTCATAGGATGAAATTTAAGACTGTTCATTATTTATGCAAGTGAAACATACCAGCTTCAATATTGAAGTCTAGTTCTCTTGGAGCTTCTTTGCACCATTCATCTATCATGGGGTTAAAATCGTACTGTGGTTCCGCCCACGCAATCCAGTCAACAATGGACTTTGCATTCTTTAAGTCCTATTAAGTAATGAAAAGATCAGAGAAGTTAAAAGGAGTGTCAACAGTCATATAACAGCAATAGCTCCTACTGTTCATCTTGAAGGCTTCAAAACGAAACTAAGACCATACCTCCAAAATAATAGCTCTAATGCCATCATGCTGAACTTTAACAACCACATCCTGGCCATTAGCTAGAGTTGCACGATGAAC